TATGCTTCCAGAATATTTGCGTGCAATGCCGATCGATACCATACTACGTGGTTAGGCAACGCGCACTCTCCTGTTCCCACGTACTCTCTCACTTCACAAGCGGCCGGCATCGATCGATACCCACCTGTGGCTGCGTTTGCGGATTGGAGCGCTGTTGTAGCAAATGGCGTCGAACTGAAGAAAAAAAAATACATAATCTTAAAGACTTTAGAGGAGTAAAGGGCTCTTCCCGCTGATGTCACCCAGCTGTACTACTTTTGGCACAATGGTTCCAATTCCATAGAACTTTTGACTTTGAAGTAACCGCAGATAAAAGTTATTGTTTTTGCAAACAACAGTCCCTTTAAAAATTCTCCAAACCCCTTTCCATCATCCATTTTACTTATCAAAACTTCCTTTGTGGAGTTCTGCTGTGAATATCAGTTTCCACAAAGCGTGGTGAATATCGTGGCGGCATTATCAGCGTGCGGCGCTTTAGAAATCGTAACAATGGCAATCGACGACTATGATGGCGCTCAGCACAATTTCACAATGTGACAAATTCTCAGCAAGTACAGTTTCCATTCATACACACGATGAGATCAAAGCAACAAACCTGATGATCCATCAGCTAAGGCAAGAAAATATAAGGCATTATTCGCTGCCACCTCTGTTCCATCGTTTGTTGGCCTCTTGAGACTAGCCATACGACGAAGAAGTTCTTCCACCTGGAACACACCAATACTTATGAGGGCATTTTAAAATTTTTAGCATCACGAATTTCATTTTTGTGTTCAGAAGTTCCTTCCGATAATACGAACCTCTCCAGTTTGTGACCCACTATTCTCCTTATTTCTCAGAGCCCAGTCCAAGGTATCAGTACGAGGTGGCCTGAAAATCTCGGAATAAATGGAACATGACCTTGATAATCATTTGAGTACGCATTGTAATGCCACGCCTCACTACGAATTAATGGCCCTTGGCACCACGACATAGCGTCGCGTGATGACGCAGCAAAAGCGTACGAGCGCAGTTTAACAATAGTAATCTGTGAAGCCTGAGTGAGACTCCGAAGCAGTCCTCTATAGTTCGAAGTTTTCTGGAAGAATATTTGAAATAGGTGATGCAAAAATTTTCACCCTTTTCTCCTTTTAATGCCTTGTTTAGATGTGTGATGACAGCTCTTGTATTCCAACTTTTACTGAGAAGTTTCGGGCCTGAGCCCCTCCTCAAATCAGCTGAAACTGAAAAACAGCGCTTATACAACGCAACACACGCTGAACAAGAACGAGTGCGTCCCACCTAGAAAGATCGTCCTACGAATTTGGGAGAGCAGTATGGGAGGGGATAGCCAGTTCACAAGGATATTGGGGAAAAAATGGGGAGAGCGTTGTGAGGGCTCTCGGCGCAGTTTGTCGACGGG